TGTGTTGTATTCGTATGAAATCAAGCGAGCGTCGAGCGAATTTTGGCAGCACGCTTTCCTACCTGCTAATCAGTGCTATATATTTATGTGTCAGTGTGCAGCAGCTAGCGTGCGGTGTACTTGTGTGTTGCAGATGAGCATTTGACCGGCATTTACAGGTGATTATAGGCGAAATAGAGTAGAGAAACATTAAGACTTTGGTAGTAAATACATTTCGTGTTTATTTTTTTTTTATAGAGAGACGTTCCAAGTGCCTGTGGTCTGTACCACATTCACGGGAAGCAGTTAATTACCAATAATAGGCGAAAGAGAATAGATAAACGTTGAGACTTTCATAGTAAATACATTTCGTGTTTATTTATCATCATTCCATTATTGAAATGTTCCAAATGCCTTTGGTATACCATGCAATCTTGCAATCAAATCTTGCATTAAATCTTGGTTAGCCAACACCCCATGTCACCGTACAAAAAATTGGTATAGCCACCAACATATGACTTAATTTGTAGCAGGAGGCTGCACAGTCAGGAGATGTAGCGATGTGTCTGAATAAAACATCAAGATATCCGATAGCACATCATTCTCAAACGGAACACATGTAAGAGCAGCCCAGCCAATACGAGCATAAACTTATATAAACAGGGCCGTAGACTGAGCAAATTTCTAGGGGGGGGGGCAAAATTTCATGACTCAACTGTAATGATGAGCGACGGGCGCAGCTCTTGATCGACGTTCATAACTTCATAGTGTGGTAGAGGTGTCCTGTGATCTTAGACAAGACTTTCACGGATAAGTGACTCAAGAAATCACGTTAGGGTTATTTACGATTTAATTTTTTATATTTTTTAATTTTGCTTCAAAATCTAGAGAGGCAGCTCCCCCCCACACACACAGGCTACGGCCCTGATAAAGGTTGCACTTACGCGTTGTACGGATAAATCAAAGGCGCCTGTGCTAACCTCCGAACTGGCGAAACATCCACAATAAGACTATCGGGTTATAGGATTGACTTACAGGTCTGGAGCTAGCATATATTATAGCTTATCACAAACATGTTGTGACACCATGCAGTACGCCCTGAAACCCTCGCTCCATATATGGGTGGTTCCGCAGGTTCTCTTACTTATAAAGATAAACGAATGAAGCGTTTTTATATAGACTCGTTATGTATACGCAATTATTTTAGGTGTTGGCGGTCTCATCTGTATTAATGAAAAGTAAATAGAATAAACAGTCTATTTACTCGCGGGCGAGCTTTTCACGAATAATACATTTTCGGAAATTCACGGAAAAAAATGCTCATACGTTCTAGCTACGCCCGCATCCCGCTTCCTTCACCAACTACAGCAATACCTGCGTTTCCCACGCTGGCGCTTGAAACAGGCAGCAAAAGCGCAGACGACGCTCGTCTCGTTCTATATATAGAATTTTACAACTAGCGTCGGGTCGCGAAGACGGACGCGTTGTAACCGGTCGCGTAACTAAGCATGCAGACGAGACGCGTAAAAACCGTGGCGCGCCGGTGGCGCCTCCCTCGTTAATAACGTGAAGCTGCAGCAGCAGCTCCATCCCCGCATTTGCCCGCAGCTACCTACCAGCGATCTATCGGCAGAGCGCCGCTGTCCTGTCGGGAATAATCTTCGGGAGACTCGCAGTAACAACACCTATATAATAATATATTTATACTAAGGGTTTGCAGAACTTGGTCACGATGGTGCAGTTTGTTGGAGAAGTCATCGCGCTCGCTCTCTTCGCGACAGCAGGTTGGTAGTTTTATGTAATCCTGGCGTAGCAAGATATGTCTCGCTTTTTTGCTACATGCAAGGTTGCGTGCGACTGTGTACGTGTGTGTGTAAGCCCTATGTGTGTGTGTGTGTGTGTGTGTGTGTGTGTGTGTGTGTGTGTGTGTGTGTGTGTGTGTGTGTGTGTGTGTGTGTGTAAGCACTAAGTACAGGAATCTCTTATATAAGATGCTGCTAGACAGACGTATATGCTTCTAACCCGGCCGACACTCGACACGGTCACGTGACGAGCTCAGAACGGCGCGGCGTCGCTGTTCACGTGACGGAATGCGACGATGGAATCCACGATAGATGTTCGGTCGGCGTCGCGAGCTGGAGAGCGCTGATGCCGACTGTCACGTCACGTGACTATATGTGTCGTCGGCAGCTTTGGGGTTGAATGTTACGTCAGCTCTCGCTCTCTCTCGCGCGCGCGTGTATTTGACGTGTTATTCGTGTAAATAATGTCGTCTGTCGATGTGATGAATCGACGCAGACAAGATGTTTTGACGCAAACGAAACTGTTGTTGCTGCTGCTGCTGGCTGCGTGAAAAAAGCTATTTGCTCGGATAGATTGTGTTATGCAAACAGACGAAACTCTTCTTTTCAACGACGAGAATTCTTCTCTTTTTTCTTCGACGTTCTTTTCAAATGTCTAGTCGCCGTGTGTTCGCGCTTAAACACTAGATCAAACGAACTAAATTAAATAGACTACAAGAACGCGTTTTTTTCTCTCTGTTCGTTTAAACGGCAGATGTAAAGAATCTATAGAATTCTAAATTCTAGTCTATCTAGTGTATGTGGCAAAAACACAGGCTAGCAAGAACGCGTTTACTCTGTTCATATACACGGCAGATCTAAAGAATCTATAGTATAATACGTATAAAATTCTAGTTTATCTAATGTATATAACAAAAAACAGGTAGCAAACACGCGTTTACTCTGTTTATATACACGAAAGATCTAAAGAATCTATAGAATATCTAGAGAATTCTAGTTTATCTAATGTATGTAGCAAAAAACAGGCTAGCAAGCGTCCGTTTTCTCTGTGTTCATTTAGACGACATATCTAGAGATTTCAAAATTCTAATTTATCTAATGCATCAGCGTAACCAACGTATAACCAGTTTCATTACATTATAAATGAGTGTATCGATAAATCCGTCTCGAAGAAATATATGCATGTGACGAAGGGCGCTATTTAGCAGGGCATTATTGTAATTGGATGCACCTAAAAGTATCTAAAGTAACGAGTAACGATTTAATATTTATACAATATATACATACAGAGTTTCTACCGCTGCTACAAATATTTATCGCGGCAATATTAACAATAGTCTACGCATGCGCACACGACTACAATTCACTTAGATATAATTAATATTTAATGTAATACTTATATTTAAAAACTTAAACTGAATACTTCAAGTTTATATAAAATTATATATTTAATATACATGCGATAGCTTTGTCGTTCACCCTTGTGATTACTAAGACCCAGTTTCGTCTGCATGCGCGTTGTCTGTCGTCATTGGTGACGTAAACGAATCCGGACTACATCGGATCCCCTCTTCGTAGTTCGCCGCGTCGGCATACATCGAGTTTGGCGTCTGCGTCCGCTGCTGCCGAGGAGAGCCGAAGATGAACGAACCGCAATCGTCATCATCTCGATAGCCGCCATCTTTATCCGGATCCGGAAATCCGATCGCAGCGGCAGACGACTCGAACTGCTCCTCTGACGTCACATCGGCTACACGCTTCGGGATTGGTCGAGCGCAGGCCTGCGCGCGCAGCTCCCGTTGCTCGGGCGTCGGGGACACGATCTGCGGAGGCGACTGGAGGAAGTGGACACTGGACGGACTACGGACGGTGAGGACGATGTCAGACGATCGCCTGGGACGCGGCAGCAGCATCGGGTTCGTCTCGCTCTCCTCCTGGATCGTCTCCAGCGGTGACGTTATCGACACGTTACTGAACGTCGGCGACAAGGACAAGGACGTTGGCTGGCCGACAGGAACGCGCGGCGTGCCGTCGTCGGTCGTCGTCTCGCACGCCAGCGACGGACTTCTCCCCGTCCCGGCGAAACTCACGACCTTCGATCCGCCATCTTGCTGTTCGTCGACGTCGCACGGCGTTCGCGACCGCCTCTGAGCCGACTGCGCCCCCTGGTGGTGCGTCGGCTGCGGGGTGACCACCCTGAGTATGTCGCCGTCGTTCGTTCGCTCGCTGTAGGATGAGCAGAGAGAGCGCGACGCGTGCGTCCTTGAGTTGACCCTGTGTCGGACAGCTTCCTCTGGGTGTAGCATGAGGTCTATCATGAGAGAGCTGCTGTGGATGGCTCGGGAACGCTCGTAAGCTGCTAGCTCCAGCATCGTCTGCTGACTGCCGCTGACGGATGGCTCGTTGTCGCTACCCGGTCCGTCGATGAAGCTAGAATGTATGAAGGCGCGAATCAGTTTCTCGCGAAGACGAAGTATTACTGGTGCGTTTAATTAAAAGGGATATAACAGAAAGGACGAGTGGGTGGTTTCGTGATGGAAAGTGTGAGGTTTAAATGTAAGCAAAGAATGTAGGTGGGTTTGATGTAGAATTTATTTAAATGGAAACGTTTAACATTTTGGCCGATTTTAAATGATTTGTGAGTTAAAAGCGCTTGTTGTCCTTACTATTTTTGAGGGTTACTCCATGCGCATATAAGTCTAAGCGATTTACTGGCTACTCTTATTTGACAATATTATTATTATTATTATTATTATTATTATTATTATTATATCGAATCAGAACAACGGAAGTAAAGGAAGAAGAAGCAGGAACACCATCGTAGAACAATCATCAATCAAGCATCATGCATCTCTTACATGTCGACAGATTCAAACTGTTTGTAACTGGAGCCTCGATGCTGCGTCGCCGACAACGACAGTGACTCATCAAACCCGGGGACGTCGGCCGCTAGCGTTCGCAGCTCCCTCTTGCGTTGCCACTCGATGACAGTGAGGAGAGCTGCACAGGCGAGCACAGTGGATCCGGCCAAGTAGAAGGCGATGTCGTATTCCCCGCACGCGTCTCGGATCATGTATATAGAAAGGGGTAGATATCATCGGCGGATGAACACAGAGGCATACATATGACGTTCTCGATCTGGCTCAATTCACTGTATCCTGAGTTGTACGAAGGGGGCGCTGCATGCAGTTTGCCGTCTTCACCGTCACTCCGTAGGCGGCGTGACGTCGGCGCTGCGCATGCGTAGTAGCTTCTGCTGCCGCCGCCATTCGTCTGTTGTGTCGTGTGGTGATTGTTGCTATGACGACGCACGAGTAGATGAAGAAGGCGTACGTGGCGACGTAGAGGCCGATGCAGACGTAGACGAAGTAGGACGACGCGAGTCTGCGCGAACGCAGCGCCACCTACCGCGAAAGTTATCAACCAACAGGCGACGACGAAGACGGCGGCGCGCGATGACGTCATCAGCTGGGAGTAGCGCAGCGGTCGCACGATGGCGACGTATCTGTCGGCGACGACGAGCGACAGCGCCATCTGTGAGCAGACGAGGATCGCGAATGCCATGGCGACGGTGACGGCGCATGCCGACCTCGTGACGCGGTTGACACGGGACGCGCGTTGACAAGAATTCCAACGAGCATGTCGCACACGGCCAGGTTCGCGACGATGTAGTTAGAAGGCGTTCGCAGACGCCGGAATCTGGCGACGACGACGATGACGTTGGCGTATAAAACGACGGCGACGACCGACGCCGACAACACGGCGATCAGGTACGCCACCCTGCCGACGTCCGTGACGCGGGCCGCCTGAAATACGTCATCGTTCACGTGACCCTCACCCGCGGAGTCTTTGGCGTGGATGAATTTGAGATTTGACATCATGGCAGACACCGTCTCTTGTGTGTGTGTGTGTGTGTGTGTGTGTGTGTGTGTGTGTGTGTGTGTGCGCGCGAGTGTGCGTGTGCGTTTAAATTTTGCTAACATAAAGATGTTGTTTTCCTAAAAATATGTAAGGATAGAATGAATAACTAGATAATCTTATACCACAGCGCTGAGACCTAAAATAATAAAAGCTGTCAGTTGGAAATTGTTACAGAGAGCCTATATTTGTAGCCAGCACACATTTGTGTTTATGTACTTTTTTTATGTACGGCCGAAAATATACGGTGTTGGTGGAGGACTTGCGGGGAAAGGGTTGATTATAGTATACGAAGAAAGGAAATGAGCAATGAGTATAAATGGAAGAAAACGCGTGAAGTGGTTGCGAGTGAGCGAGTAACAGGGCGGAGACTGCGATAGTAGAAATCGGAAGTAGATGATGGATGTAGATTAAATATCAACACAAAAGTTTAAACAGGATGTCGGATGCGTGACTCGGTGTGTTATCCCAAGTAATTGAATTTGATTGTCAGTCCACGCAGTCTCTATGTATTTAATCTGAACAATTCCTCCATACACCAGAGCGTGAGGTAAATAGCAATTACAGATCATTTACAATCTATAACTCACAAAACACGGCGATTGGTGATCTCTTTACGTACATAAACCATGTTCATATAATTTTATTATAAGATTTATTAAACGAAAAGTCCGTGTCTAGTTGTTATTTTTTGTTTCTATTATTATTTTATATTTTAGCTTATTAAGTGATATTATAAAAAAAAGTATGCGTTCGGCTATACGTTTTACAAGGTGCCCGCGTTTACTGAGCTTATCTTCCTTCTATGCGTTTGTGAATGAATCATATCAGACGGGCAGCAGAAGAATTCTGAATTGTCTCAAGAGCTAATACATACATGATGTATTATTAATTAGCTCTTGATTTGATCTAAAACACGCTGCAATTTATTGTCTCATTTCTCGATAAGCACGGGTCTGCGCGAGAGCTGGCCTGCCTGCCAAACGCCTTCATCAAGCATTGATAAGTCAATAACATACGCATCCTAACACTAATTTTTCTGCTTTCTAGTATGCGGGCTGGACTTTGGGGGCTGTGGTAAAACAAAGGGCTGTTTTAGGTAAGCATTTTTTTCTACTAGAGAATTGATTTAGTCGGTCTAGGAATGTTACAGACATTACGAGTGGACCAGAGCATGCAGAAAATTCCGAACATATTACGTGTTAGGTAGATTACTAGATGATTACGGTAATGTATAACGGGTAAGCATCACTGATTCACACACGTAAGCCATGCGCCACTCTGTAGATATTCAAGGTATTGATGAACCAATGATTCGATTGTCTGTCGCTCATGATACTATAGTCTCAGTATTACAGCGATCGTGTTAGCGGTTGCTAGGTTATACCGTGTTAGCGGTTGCTAGGTTATACCGTGTTTGTCCTGGATTTGCTTTGCGCATTACAATATCTTGCGCTAGCGCCTCTCGTGCACGAAAGAAATCAATAAATAACCTGAAATAATTTGAATATAAATAAGAATTGAAGCAATTAAAAAATGCCTTTGGGTACGCAGGTATGGGGGAAATGGGTGTACGCCGAGTACGTGTGATTATGCTGCCACCTGGGTGGTCGACGCGACCGAAAACACCGTCGAGGTGGATATGACAGCGGCTCTCACGGCAGACAATGGTTACGTGGCGTTCGGCTTCAGTGTCGACGGCCTAATGGTAAACATAATGGCCTAATATAAATACTAAGAAATCATTGAACACACACATATTCCGACACTCGGATTTTATTTACGAAAGTCGCGATCTGTCATTTATTGATCGCAGCACGACCCGAAGAATGTGATTTACACTATACCATGTTTAAAATATGTCTTTCCTATACAAGAAAACAGAATTCCGAATACGATGATCAGATGGGGTTCGATGTTACGGGTGCTGCTGGGGGCTCAACGGAAGAAGGGAGGACGGACCGATCTGCTGAAACTATAAACTCTTGTCTTTTTAATATAATAATGTAGGCCTATAATATAATAATGTAGGCCTATAATATAATAATGTAGGCCTATAATATAATAATGTAGGCCTACTAGTATACATTTTTTAATGTTGTAATTTTAACGGGTGGATTTATTGCGTTTTAAAAAATTTCATTATATTTGTTGCCATTTCGACGCCATTTTGGTTTAGCCGAGCGCCGACGTGTACGCTGCCACGAACTATCAGAATAACGTCGAGTTAAAGCACTACTCCAACCCAGCCGCCACGGCAAACAGCAACCATCCTGCTTCCGTGCTAGTCTCCACGACGCCGACTTCAGTCACGAGTGAGTTATAACGCTATATATACCTGTACCTTTACGCACTCAGTCAGGGAGATCGAGGCCGAGGCAAATGCGGTTTTATGTCTACATATTGCACGGCTGCATTTTATATGTGTACACGAACCTACCTTAATTTACACACCAATTGCGTGCTTGCGCGCACACACACACGCCCACGTATACGGGCGCTCACGATAACATATACCTAAAAACGCATGCACGCATACATATGCACACCTGCACGCACACAAATGCGCACGCATACATTCTCGCGCGCACACACGCACGCACGCACATAAATACGCACGAAAAAACACATGTACCCACATAATTTATGCAAGAACATGCAAGAATCGTGCAAACAACTACGCACGCACGCACCTGCGCGCACGCACGCATGAGCCGCCCATCTTGGCAGTGCGCCAATATTAGTGATACCTGATACCATGCATGTGTTCCGTTACATATACGTTATTGATGTCGTCACTGTGGTAACACGTGTTGTCATGTACGGAACCTAAATATTTCATAAGCGAGTGAGCGACTATATATAAACTACGACAGCGTGCGATTGATCTAAAGCTTTGTGTACGTTATTTTCATCAGGCAAATCCTACAGCGATGGAAGAATCAGTTGTCGTTTCACGAGACCGCTGAATGGAGCCGGTGTCGTTAACGGAAACACCTATGACTTAACTGAGAGCTGGTACTTCCTCTACGCGTACGGACCTCTCAGTGGAGGTAAGGATAACATATCACGGAGGAATGATGGCGTGTTGCCTACACGAGCACGGGTAGATTGTGGGAATGATGGCGTGTTGCCTACACGAGCACGGGTAGATTGTGGGAATGATGGCTTATTACCTGTAATGTATTACCTGTAATGTATTACCTGTAATGTATTACCTGTAATGTAGTACCTGTAATGTATTACCTGTCGGTATCCGGCTGTACCTAGATGCACGGGTTATGCTCGCGGTCACAACGCTATAGCCTCAGCCGCGCACAGCTTACCTCCATCTATCGAAAAACGAATGTCTTACCCGGTGGCAACATCAACTTGCTTAAAAATGTAAACTCTGGCTTTCATTCGTCGATCTTATTTTAGCGTGTGGTTGAGGATAGCCAGTAGTCGATGGATTTTAATTTGGAAAGAAGTAGTTTTACTGTGATGCTGTATGGTGCGCTTGCCATGATTACTGCCTATCATCGCTCTCAAAACGTTTGATGGTGTTTGTGATAGTCTTAGTGCGTGTACTTGCTGTTCTCGATAGATGTTTATTATTAGTAAACGATTGAATGGAACTCGTCTTCGTAGCGGGTGCGCGTGTTTAACTAATCTGGCGAACTATTTTCATCGCCCAGTGATCCTTACATACTACCAGGGGTTAATTCATTAGTGTAATAATGTCATTATTAACCCCTGTAACTACCACTCATCTTTATATGTAATGACATGATACGCACAGCATAACACGCGGTATAGATAGTGACGTAAGAAGTAATTAACGTAACGATTACGTGATAGGCTGCGGGAGTAATAGGTAACCACATGACACGCACAGGACCAATCATATGATCAGGACGTGAGTCACCGACCTCCATATCACTGTATAGTGTATACTAGGGTCCCTATATACAGAGTAAACAAGGACCCTACTATACTCTGTATACAGGGACCCTAGTGTATACTGTATGCATTATGTGCTATGTGGCATGTACTATGTTCGATGCATTAAGTACTTGGTACTATGTATGTACCGTGTACGATAGACTATGTACTATGCACTGTGCATGTAATAGAATGTGTGCGGGGAAGTGACCTAGCTTGTGTGGTGTGTATATATATAAGCATATAATATGTATGTATGCGTGAGGGCGTGATGTTGAACATTCCTATATTACGTCTGCTTGTTTACAACATTAGATCGCCTTCATGTTCGGTCTAGTTCGAAGTATATGTGACAGTGTTGAGTATCCTTCCAAGAATTCCACGGCGAAATACCCACTATCACGCATGGCTGGGGAAATCTGCCCACGATTGCTAGACGTATCCATCGTAGCCCACCGCAGACAATCGCCACAGACACCTATACTAATGGCCTTGCATCTCAACAACCGTTTACTGACATATAATATGCTCGCCTGTGACGAACCGTGTAGCGCTTGGAAATAGTGAAAATGCGAAATGTTTGTATGATTTTAGTATGATTCACGAACCTTTAAAGATCATTGAATACCGACACTATGCGCAGTTAGCATTACAGCGTATGCGTAGTTTTCATATGTCGTGATTGATCGCCATTTTTGCCGTGTATACCAGACGGTAATTGTTTAATGACAAATTAAATAAATGTCTTGACGTACGTTCTTACGTAAATTTACTTGCGTTTTCTACTTTGTTTTTTTTTCTCCTGAAAACAAGTGTAAGGACAATTGCAGTGAAACACTTGCGTTAGAGAAACGCAATGAAAAACAAAAAACAACCATTAATAATCTGCAGAAAGTAAAGTTTGTTCGAATTAAACTTTTATTGCTTGCTCCTTGAGCAAACAAGCCAATGCGGAAATTGCCGGAAAAGTGTGTATTCACAGTGAACAGGAAAGGGGCGTTGCCAAAGTAACTTTTAGTGTTGTTGACTTATATACCGTCCGCCATGTACCTCCTGAAAATTAACTTAGAAAATTTCTGTAGAAAAAACACGTTACTTTTGCGCTCGTTGATGAATTATTTCTTTTCATAATATCACAAATAACGGAATGCGTTCAGTAGAATAATGACCCCAAGTTCCCAACGTTATATATAAATGATCTCCTCTCTTTCACTATATAAATATATATATATATATATATATATATATATATATATATACATATATATACATATACACATATTTTGGGGTGTACTAGATTATTATTGGGCAAAAAGTCGAATTTCCCGCCTCGTTTTAATAAAATTGGACTGCACGCTCGCCCTCCATTTCCAATAGAGAATTAAGCGCGCCTAGTTTGGTTTACTTCGCTCTCGCTGTAGGCCAATTAAGTGCAAATCGATTCGGAACTGCAGATATCAAATCACGCGAGACTCTCCATGCAGTTCACAGATTAGTTCTCAATCGCACGCCCTCCTGGATTTATAGCCGATCGATTGATAATCACCACCAATTATCGTTTTCTCTCGCATTACAGACGGCAATCTGGCCAAACACTACATCGATCACACGCCGACGTCCGGCAAGAAACAACGGCTGATCGAGTACGACGACCAGCTTCTGTACAGCACGGCCCACCACACCAGCGCCACGGTAACATCCATCGCCGGGCTGGTGGTGTTCGCGCGCCTGCTCAACTGAGCGCATGCGCAGCGTGTTCGATCGTTGTGCGCGTGTATGGTTCGGCATCGTACTTAGAAATAAGAATTTGTAGAGCGGTAGAAATAATTTAACCGCGATTAAAGTATGTGTAACAATGCTCAAACAATTTGTGAGGGTGAGGCACGCTCGCAAACACGGGCACAGTGACTGACAGAAATACACACCTCCGTCGATTGGCTCTGCCGCTTATATAGGGTGCAGCATCGCGGATTAGAACAGCAGCGACTGTTCTATTCATATTATTTTTTCTTTTGCTTCGATTCAGATCCTTAATTAACTATCATTCTTACCGTTAGCGCTGTTGTCCCTGACGGCTGTTTGATTTTGACCCCAAGGCGCGGTTACGTTCAATGACTAGATGCAGGAAATGTCGGGTATAGTATAGGCGACGCTAAGCAAATGAGAGAGAGAGAGAGAACAAGAATGAGGGGAAGAAATAGACAGAGAGAGAGAGAGAACAAGAATGAGGAGAAGAAATAGACAGAGAGAGAGAGAGAGAGAGAGAGAGAGAGAGAGAGAGAGAGAGAGAGAGAGAGAGAGAGAGAGAGAGAGAGAGAGAGAGAGAGAGAGAGAGAGAGAGAGAGAGAGAGAGAGAAGAAGAAGAAGAGAGAGAGAGAGAGAGAGAGAGATAGAGAGAGAGTAGAGAGAGACGTAGAGAGGAGACGAGAGAGGAGAGAGAGA